GGATTTAATATATAACGTGAAACGATTATAAGGATTACGATTTTAAACATTTACTATCATTTTTCTAATATTTTCTCCATTAAATACAATTTATATTATTTACGATATTAAGTAATCTACACAAATTCTTAAATTAACAAAAAACAAAAACAGTTATATACAACATACGTTTTCATATATCGTATATGGTATTACATACATCGCTTACGATGTCATATGTGAACAACTCAGGAATTATCCTACGTGATCTAGGTAATATATTGCACCACACTTGATTTACGATATAAAAGCTACGAAAACTAAGGATTGATAGTGAACAATCAATTCAAATATATTTAAATATTTATCATATATAGCATACGATATAAATAAATTTGCTCGAATATCGCAAAAACAATAAGCTAAAGATGCTTAACCAAATCAATTTACTTTCCATATCTTCCCCTTCTCTCCGCAGCACTAACGATTCTTACGTACGCTTCCTAATTTACAGTTAGTCTGCAGCTGAATTAAGGATGATGCACATTCTATATAACGCATTTACATTATATATACCAAAAATTGAGTGAGCCATCTAAACAATATGAAATCCGCACAGGTGGTTCTCTATGAGCCAGTGCGTACTGTACCCATTTGTGARTGAGTGAATGTCAATAGATGTTGCATAGTGATTCAATAGTTAACTCATTTATCGAATACCAACAGAAAATGCCAAAAAAAAAAAAATAAAACGGAAATTGCAAAGCAATTGAAATCGTTTGCAAATTATTGAAAAAGGTCTTTGGGGTCTTTTTTTCGAGAGGGAGGTTGGGGAGCAGGCATGGGGGGTAAAGTGACGCCCCTCGCTCGCGGTCAAAAAGCGTTTTATGCAACGTAATAGCCCAAACACAATTAACAGTTATTCATAATCATTTCGAATGCAAAATCGAGATATGCAAATGAACCGCAAGCCAAATCCGAAGTCGAAGTCGTAGTCGCAGTCGTAGTCGTAGTCGAGTTGCTGCCACTCGCACTCCAGCAGCCCCATGGAAATTAAGATCAATTTTCAGGCAAGCAAATCAATAAAATAACAGCAGCAGCAACAACAGCAGCAGCAGCAACAACAACAACAGGAGCAACAGCGGCCCAGTAGACACTGAACATTTCAATTGCTGACCATTGGAGCAGCAGCTGTTGCTGTTGCTGTTGTTGCTGCAGGGACAAAAACTAACTCTAATATCATTTTGCATAGCATGTTACCTCGCTGAATACCCTGTAATTGGCGCAAGTAGTTCAACTGGGTATGCGTAGAAGTTAGAATCAACCAATGCAGCTCTATAGATCATATATACAAATATGACTATATTTACAAGAGAGCAGAAATGTGAAATTTATTGAACAATTTGCATCGATAAGTATCGATGAGCGATTGCAGCCTTATGCATGAACTATCCTGTTTGATTATTTAATATATATGGAATATATGGTATGGTATGGTGGTATATTTACTAGATATAAGAAACTAACTGATGAATCGCATTGATAATGTTCGATAGCTATTGCTAATTGTCGATAATTATCGATGCTCTACTACAGCTATTTGTTTACATACCAATGCTACTTGACTGTTTAGCTCTCAATTGTAGACAACTCTACACTTGGGTACATTAATCTGATTGATAATCTATATCGATAGTTGTAATAATCGATCAAGTGTGCGTTAGATACGGAAATCTGATTGATATTTCGATATCGATAGCTGTACATCAGCTGCAATTCTAGTTAATATATGCATTAGATACAAAGATCTGATCGATATATTTTATCGATAAATATCGATGTTTATCTTTATGTAGCTGTATGAATTTTTGGCCCTAAATATATATGCATGTATATAAATTGAATAGAGCAGCTGTGCTGCAAAACGATAACGATATCGATTACAGATTCATGTATTCAACAGCCAGCCTCACGCTCTTCATGTCTTTGACTCAGATATAGACTCAGAAGTGTCTTCCACCACTAAGCAAATAAATATCCTTTTTCGATAACTTTAAAGGCAAATCGATAAATCGATAAATCGATTTGCATAAATCTCTGCTTATTGTGCGCTTTAAATAAGCTACATCTTGTACATGCCTTAAAATTTGATTCAAGTGAAATTAGATTTTGAATTCATATCACAACTCAAACTCTATATCGATAAGTGCTCTACGAATTTATCGCTCTGAACACAGCTTAGTCGCATAGACTCTCTGCTGGTCTAGGCTAGTTGCCAACAATTTAAAAGCAATTTGAATTTTAAGAGGGTAGTGGAAGGGGCAGGGGAGGGGCAGGCTGGTAGGCTGGTAGGCGGCAAGAGGGCAGACAGAGAGTTGGTTGGTCAATTTTCATTGATTTGGGCGAACGCTCGTTGCATTTGCATTTTTTGAGAGTCTCCGCTGCAAAATCGTGTGTGTCAATTCTTTTGGTGTCAGATTTCAATTTCGTTTGTTCGGTTTTCATTGCGTATTGTTGCTGTAAGGCAGCAACAGCAGCAGCAGCAGCAGCAACAGCAACAGCAACAAGCATTGGCGGCATTTTTACAAAAGCTGCCGCCGTTGCAAGTTTATTAATTCATTTCGCAGCAACAGCAGCAGCAGCCACAGCAGCAACTGTTTTGAGTCAGCAGCAACAGCAGCAGCAACAACAACAACAACAGCAAATTGTCATCCCCCGCGGCTCGTTTTCCATGTGAAATTTGCATTTTCCATGCGCTGTTGCTGCTGCTGTTGTTGTTGCTGGCTCCACACCTTTGGCGGCGGTTGTTGCTGTTGCTGTTGCTGCTGCATTTGGCCATTGTGTTGATTTATGCGCACATTTTGTGGTCATTTCTCTATGGCCAGTCGTCAGCAGCAGCAGCAGCAACAACAACAACAACAACAGCAACAGGCCACAAAATGTGACAGCCTTTAGCCAAAATCAGCCAACTGCATATGGATATATATATACATATATACACACACACACATATATATATGCATCCCTCTATATGCATCTGTATCCGTCCGTATCTTTATAACTGTGTGAACTTTTTACAAATTGTTTTAATTTGGCTTTGGTTATTCGCTTCGCTCCCGCTTGTTGTTGTTGTTGTTAACCTGAATGTCTATTTAAGGCATTTTTGGATTTTACCTGCTTTTATTTTCCTTACTTGCTTTGCATTCATAAAACTGCCAAAAACTAAGCTGGCCAACTCACCTGCAAAGAGAGCGAAAGAGAAATGAAAGCAAATTAGAAACGATATTCAATAATTGGAATTTACAATTAAAGTATATAAAAATACATTTCTAGATATCGATAAACAGCTATCGATAACAATCGACGGCAATTGCCTTAATCATAATATCAAGCGAAAAAGTCAACGACTCGCGACTCGACCCGAAATGCCAAGGCAAAGTTATGGTTTTCATTAGGCCCGGCCAATAGATAGAGCTGGCCAGGCGAATACAGTTAACACACACCCGCTAATCTGAGCACATAACTTAGCAGCGCCAAATGCGGAAGCGGCAGCAGCAGCAGCAGCGGCTCAGAAATGTTTGCCACTTTCTAAAACTAAAGAAAACGCCTCAAGGAGCTGCTGCAGCGTGGGCCCCGGGCCAAGGTAGGTGGAGTGGGGTGGCGAGGTGGGGGCGTGGACTCTGACAGTCTCGGTTGCCTGGCCTTATCAGGTTTGCCCCGAAAATAGCAGCGCAGCGCAGCGTAATCGAAATTGCGCATCGTTGCGGCGGCAGCGTGCGGCATGTGGCAGCAATTGGAATTCGATTAAGGCGGCCAAGGCAAAATGCAATTAGAGGGTGGATGCGTTATTAATGTGGAGCGATGTGCGCCACTGCAGTCGACGACGCAGCAGATATTGATAGAAAACATATATA